TAAATTCTGTCGATCTTTTCAAAGTACAACTTTTTATTTCATTGATTTTTCTCTTTTGTTTATTTATTCTCATATTGCTTATCTCCACTATAATCTTTATTATTCTCCTCCTTCTGCTGGCTTTTATTTTAGTTTTATCCTCTTTTTCTAGTTCCTTATGGTGTAAAGTTAGGTTACTGATCTGAGATCCTTCTTTTTAAATGTATCTAGAGCTATAAATTTCCCTCTAAACACCACTTTCACTAACCTTTGTTTTATTGTATTTTTATTTCATTCATCTCAAAGTATTTTCTAATTTTTCTTATGCTTTCTTTTTTGATCCTCTGGTTCTTTAAGAGTGTGTTGTTTTATTTCTACATATTTGAATGTTTCTCAGGTTTCTTCTGTTATACATTTTTAGTTTCATTACATTGTGGTTAGAAAAAGATTCTTTGGAAGATTTCAATATTTTAAATTTTATTGACTCTTGTTTTGTCACCTAACATAATGGTGTGTTCTAAAGAGTTTTCTATGTGAAATGGAAAAAAAAAAGTGTATTTTCTTATTTTAGGATGAAATGTTCTGTATATGTCTATTATATCTTATTTATACTGTTATTCACGTCCTTCATTTTCTTGTTATTAATCTGTCTAATTGTCCTGTCCATTATTGAAAGTGGGGTAGTAAAGTCCCAATTCTTATTGTAGAACTGTCTACTTCTTCCTTCAATTTTACCAATATTTTCTTTATATATTTTGGGGGCTCTCTTATTAAATGCATATATTTTTATAATTGCTATATCTTCTTTATGGATTGAACCTTTTTATCAATATATATGTTCTTCTGTTTTGTTTTGTTTTTTGTTAATCCTCACCTGAAGATATTTTTCCATTGACTTTTAGATAGAGTGGAAGGGAGAGAGAGAGAGGGAAAGAAAACATCAATGTGAGAGACACACATCAATTGGTTGCCTCCTGCACAACCCCAACCAGGACCAGAGATCGAACCTGCAACCAAGGTACATATCCTTGACCGGAATCAAACACATGACCCTCTGACCGTGGACCAATGATCTAACTGCTGAGCCAAACTGGCCAGGGATCAATATATAATGTTCTTTGTCTCTTGTAAGAATTTTATCTAAAGTCTATTTTGTCTGATATTAGTAAATCCATCTCAGCTTTCTTTGGTCACTATTTGCATCATTTTACTTTTAACATATTTGTGTGTTTGGATCTACAGTGAGTCTGTTGTTAGAAAGCATATAGTTGGATCATGTTTAGTGGTTTTTTAAAATATGTTTTTATTGATATTTTAGACAGAGAGCAAGGGTGAGAGAAATAAAAACATCTATGTAAAAGAGAAACATTGATTAGCTGCCTCCTGCAACACCTCCTACTGGGGATCAAGCCCGAAACCTGGGCACGTGCCCTGACCTAGAATTGAACTGGGACCTTTCAGTCCATGGAATGACCCTCAGTCCACTGAGCCACACTTGGCCGGGGCATGTTTAGTGTTTTTTTATTTACCCTGCCAATGTCTGTCTTTTAATTGGAGAGTTTAATCCATTTATTTAAAGTAATTACCGTTCAGGAAGTACTGCCATTTTTCTATTTGTCTTCTTTACATCTTACATCTTTGTTGTTCTTCCATTCCTCCATTACTGTCTTTTTGTATGTTTAATTGATTTTTTTATAGTGTACAATTTGATTCCTTTCTCCCTTTCTTTTCTGTAATTTTACAATTATTTTCTCTGTGGTTTCCTTGGGAATTAGTTTTTAAAAATTTTAACAATCTATTTTGAATTAATACTACCTTACTTCAATAGCATAGAAAAACTACTTCTACATAGCTCTATCACACCCACTTTATGCTGATGTCACAAATTTCATTTTTACACACTGTGTGCCCATTAGCATAGATTTATAATTACTGTTTTATGCATTTCTTTTCAATCATATTTCAAAGAAAAGTAGAAGTTACAAACCATAAATACAATACTGCCTTTGTATTTATCTATGTAGTTGCCTTTACCAGTGTTCTTTATTTCTGCATATGTCTGAGCCTAGTGTTTCTTTCATTTCTGCCTAAAGGACTCTCTTTAGTATTTCTTATAAAGCAGTTCTACTATGCTGAATTCCCTTGTTTTTGTTCATTTGGGAATGTCTCAATTTCTCCTTCATGAGAATATATTTAATTTACTATTCAAGTTAATTTCTTCTTTTTGAGGATTATTTGAAAAATACAGAATTATTGGTTGACAGTTTTTTTCTTTCTTTCAATGTTTAAAGGATTTTTATCCCACTGACTTCTAGCCTCAATGGTTTCTGCTGGGAAACTGGGTGGAATCTTATCAAGGATCCCTTGTACAAAATGAGTCACTTGTCTTGCCGCTTTCAAGACTCTGTCTTTTAACAGTTTTATGATACGTCTCAAACTGTGTGGATCTCTTTGTGTTTATAATTCTTGGAGTTTGTTGAGCTTCTTGGAAGTGCTGATTCATGTCTTGTATCAAGTCTGGGAAGTTTTGGGCCATTATTTCTTCAAATATTCTTTGGGCCCCTTTATCTCTTTTCTCCTTTTTCTAAAATTCTCAGTATGTATATATTAGTATGCTTGGTGGAGTCCCACAGATCCTTCAGGCTTTGTTCATGTTTCTTTTTTTTTCTCTTTCTTTCTGTTCCTCAGACTGGATCATTTCAATTGACCTATCTTTAAGAATTGCTGATTTTTTTCTTCTACTTGCTCAAATCTGCCACTGAAAACTGTAGTGAGTTTTTTTTCATTGTACTTTTAATCTCCAGAATTTATGTGTGGTTCTTCTTTATAATTTCTATCCTTTTATTGATATGCTTTATTTGTTTATATATCATTTTACTGGTTTATTTTAGTTCTTTGTCCATCATAATTTCCTTTAGCTTTAGGAACATGTTTAATACAACTGATGTCTGTACTCCCTCATGGAGAGTTTCTGTTAATTTCTCCCTTGAATGGGTCATACTTTTTTTTTTCTTTTGTATCCTTTGTAATTTTTTATTGAAAACAAAATTTTTGAAGATGACGGCATGTGATATGGAAATCATACTCTTCCTGCCCTTAAGATTTGTTTTGTAATTTGCTGTAAGTGGTAGTTGTTTGCTTGTTTAGTGATGGTTTCAAAAGTATTTTTATAAAGTCTGTATTCTTTGTCATGTATCATTTCAAAAGTGTTTGTTTTTCAGATTTGGTCAGCTAGTGTTCTGACATAGATTTCCTTAAACACCTAGATTCCTCCCTCCTCAAATAAAAAAAAAAAAAAAGAGACTGGAAAAAGAAAAGAGACAAAGAAACAAAGAAAAGGAAAAAAGATTTCTCCCAGTCTTTACAGATTGGGTCTTTAGGCTGTTTACAACTATGCCTTAGCCTTCACGTCCTGCTTGTACTGAGCCTAGAGATCAGTCAGGGGTAAAAGTCTGGGACATTTTTAGGTCTTTTCTGACCATGCATCCCACTCTAAACATGCACATGACTTTATAATTTACCCTGTATATTCAAGACTTTTCAATACCTTTATTTTCCAAAGAAACTCTCTCCCCAGGTTTTTCTCTCAGGCTTTAAGTGTATGTATCTCATTTGACTCTATTGTATTTCCTTGCCTCAGATAAAGGTGAGTTGTTCATTTCCCATACAACATTTTTGGAGAATACAGTCTGCACAGCTGCTTTACCACTCAAGAGTTATGACTTAGGTAAGAAACCAACCAACAAACAAAAAAATAGACAAGTACTTGTGTCAGTCCTTCAGGTAGCTCCCAGACAGGGTAAAACAGTCAAACCAAATTCCTTGAGAATAAGGTCCGTTCTGTTCCCTCTGGAACCAGGAGCCAGGATCTCATACTGGGAAGGCAGGCTGCTGTCTTTTTTTATTTTTTTATCCTCATCCGAGGACATTTTTGCATTTATTTTCAGATAGAGCACAAGGGAGGGAGGGAGGAAGAGAAAGAGAAACATTGATGTGAAAGAGACACATCGACTGGCAGCCACCCACATGACCCCAACCAGGGCCCAGAAGGGAGAGAGGGAGGAAGAGAAAGAGAAACATCGATGTGAGAGAGACACATTGACTGGCAGCCACCCACATGACCCCAACCAGGGCCGGGGCCAAACTGCAACCAAGGTACATGCGTGCCCTTAACAGGAACCGATCCCGGGCCTCTGGTCTGGGGGCCGAAGCTCTAACTGCTGAGCCAAACTGGCCAGGGCAGGCTGTTGTCTTTAAGACTACCATCACACTGGGAGGAGAATGGGTCAAGAGCAAGATGCCACAACAGTTTGTCTTTTAAAAGAAGTAGCTTACAGTTTTGCTGAGTAACAAAGGCCATTAAGATCATAACTTTTCTTCTAATTATCCCATTGACCACACTTCACAGATTTGGGGCTATGCAGTGTTCTCAGGATTGTTAATTTATAAACATTGAAAGATAGTAATTAAGGCTCTAGAACTAGATTATTTAGGGGTATCATTGTCTGCAATTCTAGCTGAGTGACCTTGGGCAAGTTAGTTAACTTCTCTTTGCTTGTTTCTTCCTCTATAAAAAGGGGAAAAATAATAGTACCTACCTGGTAGGCTTATTGTGAGAATTAAATTGGTTACATGCCTAGAATAGTGTAAAAGGCCTAGAATAGTATCTGGCACATTTTAAATATTATGAGTTGTAGATGATATTCTATGTAATATAAATAATTAGTTTCTATAAAGTTTTCATAAACATTTGAAGAATACAAAGTTCTATGATAGTTTGTATAAAAAATCAAACTTGATAATTATGTTATTCAAATCTTCTATATGTAATATTTATTACTTGTTAACTTATTTGTCAAATTCTGAAAGCTGTATATCACAGTACCCAGTTACTGTTGTGATTTGGACATATTATTTCTATTTTTGCTTTCTATATTTTAACATTTACTTACTAATAGACAGACTCAAAGAATGTATATTAATATATGATAGTTTATCAAGCAGAATAACACATAAATTACCTTTGTCTTCCTTTATAATTTTGTCACATTGAACATCTTTATTTTTTGGTGCTCCATTAATAGTCTGCATCATTCTTTCAACATATAAGTCATTGCCTAATCTATTTTTACAAAGGTTCTCATAATCCTTGTTTCTCCGGCTATAAAAAATAAATTATATTCAACTCATTAGTAAAAATTAAGTATTACCATATCTATCATCTCTTTATATAATGCATTTCCTTAAAATTACCTTCTTTATGTGGATTGCACCAAAAAGTATGTCAATATTTTAGTTGAGATTTATGTTAATAATTTTTATCTTCATTCCACTGTGGTTAGAGAATTTTTTTTTGTATGACACCACTTCTTTGAAATTTTTGAAACTGTTTCACGGCCTTGTGCATGGATGATTTTTATAAATGTTCCATGAGTGCCTGCAAAGAACGTGTGTTCTCCAACTGTGGAATGGAGAGTTCCATGTATAACCACTAAATTATATTTTTGGTTCAAATTTTCTACATGTATACTAATTTTTACCTGGTTGTTCTGTCAATAATTAAGAGAGGTATGTTTAAATATCTTACTTTAATAGGATACTTACCAAGTTTCCAATGTTTGCATCATATATTTGGAGGTTATTTTATTAGGAAAGTTCAAGTTTAGAGTTATTATACCTTCCTGTCATTACGAAGTAACCTGCTTTATCTCTAATAATGCTGTCAGTTTAATTGTTTCTCTGTAGATGATATGTTCTTTCTTTTTTCTTCTGTTTTAAAAATCTTTTACTATTTGATATTCAATACAGTATCAGTATAATGCACTCAGTTCTTTTTTGTTGTTGTTGTTGATTTCTTTTTATTTATTTCTTTTTCTGTAGAATGGTGTCTTTAAATAATTTGGGAAAGTCCTTACCTACTCTCTTTGCATAGTACCTCTCCTCCATTCTTTTTATTCTACCCTTTTAGAACTGACTAGATGTACATTAAACCTTTATTCTATTGTCAATGTCTTTTTGAATTAGTCATACTTTATATCTCATTCTTATTTTGCATATTATATAAACTTTATTTTGTACAGTTTATCCAGAACTATGTTTGTATGGCATTCAGAGCCAATTGATTAAATCTATACTCAAGTATGTCTTATTAAAATTTAATATTTACCTTTTAATTACAAGAATTAAGTCAGTGTTTACTTTAAAAATTGTTTTCGTCTTTATTTGTTTTTAGAGCAAGAGCAAGGGAGAGGAAGAAAGAGATGAGCGAGAACATCAAATGGCCACCTTCTGCATGCCCCCCACTGGAGGTTTGGCTCACAACCTGGGCATGTGCCCTGACCGGGAATCGAACTGCTGACCTCTTGGTGCATGGGTTGATTCTCAACCACTGAGCCACACTGGCAGGGCAAGTCAGTGTTTACGTTTTAATTTCAACAATTATGTAAACATACTTTGAAGTACTTCTTAGATGTTTTTCCAAATATAAATAATCATTTTGAAGGATTTTTTAAAAATACATATTTTTATTGCCCTGGCCGGTTTGGCTCAGCAGTTTGAGCGTCGGCCTGCGGTCCAGAGAGACCCGGGTTCAGTTCCCGCTAAGGGCAGGTACTTCGGTTGCGGTTTGTCCCTGGCCCTGGTTGGGTCATGCAGATGGCAGCCATTCAATGTGTCCCTTTCACATCAATGTTTCTCTCTCTCTTCCTCTCTCCCTCTCCTGCTCTATCTGAATAAAAAAATGGAGAAGTGTCCTCGGGTGAGAATAAAAAATATATGTATGTGTATATGTATATATATATATATATATATTTTTTTTTAGGGAGAGAGAGATAGAAACATTGATGTGAGAGAGAAACATCAATCAGCTGCCTCCTGCATGTCCCCTACTGGGGATCAAGCCCAAAACTTGGGCATGCGCCCTGATTGGGAGTCAAACAAGGACCTCTCAGTCCATGGGGAGATGCTCAATCTACTGAGCTGCACCAGCTGGGCTAAATCATCATTTTGATAGTTTCTTAATATTAATGATTTTTTTAAAATCCTCACCCAAGGATATTTTTTCCATTAATTTTTTTAGATAGAGTGGAGGGAGGGAGGGGAAGAGAGAGAGAGAAACATTGATGTGAGAGAGACACATTGATCAGTTGCCTCCCACATGACTCCAACCTGGGGTAGGGATCGAACAGAAACCAAGATACATGCCCTTGACAGCAATAGAACCCGAGACTCTTTGGTCCGTGGACCGATGCTCTAACTGCTGAGCCAAACCCGCCAGGGCTGTTAATGATATTTTAACTCTACCTTTTATTTAAATATTTCACATATATTTTACATTCTAGATCTGGTAGTATCATTATCCACAGTTGTCAGGGTCTAGAGCTAGGGTTTCTTATTACTTTTAACTCTCATTCCTAATAGCTTAAAAAAAAACCAACAACTAGTAATCCTTATGGGTTTAGTATAATTTTACCAAACTTTATCTAAGGGAATCTTAAGAACTTAAATGGGTATGTTTTCCTTTAGAGAAAGCTTGTGCTTGATTATCATAGTTACTAGGAGACCCTACTGACCTGGGACCACTTGAGATAATTGAGATCCTTTTAAGGGTCTGGGCTTAACAACAACAAAAAATCTCTCTTTTAGCTTTTGCAATGTGTTGAGGACCCAAGACTTACTGGTGGACTCTAGATCTATGAGCTAATGTAATATTTGATTCTAGCACCTCTCACTCTCTGATTTCAGATCACTCATCTACCCTTTATTATTTTTCCTTTTCTTTTTTGGTCCTGGTAGCTTTTGCTTATGTCATATGAACTTTTTTAAAAAAATACGTTTTTATTGATTTTTTAGAGAAAGAGAGAGGAAGGAAGAGAGAGATAGAAACATTGATGTGAGCATGAAACATGGATATGATAGGCTGCCTCCTGCATTCCCCCTACTGGGATCAAGCCCACAACCCGGGCATGTGCCCTGACCAGGAATCGAACCAGAACCTCTCAGTCCATGGGATGGCACTCAATCCACTGAGCCACACCGGCCAGGTTGTCATATGAACTTTTAAAAGTGTTATTCAAGATCTAATTGCACATATTTTATAGTGCAAACAATTCTACAATATTATATATTTCTGTAAAAATAATGCCCCAAAATTATTTTAATGGATTGTTAGTACTATTCATCATATTCAAATTATATTTGAAGCTAAATAATTTTAATAACTACATTAGTAACAATATCAATTTCAAACAGAGTAGACGTCAGAGCAAGGAAAATCATCTGAGACAAAGAGTAGTATTTCATAGTTATAAAGGGGTCAATTCTTCAAAGACAACAATCCTTAATGTGTATGCACCTAACAACAGAGTTTCAAAATACATGAGGCAAAACTAGTCATCTATATTCATTAATAAAGAGAAATGGAAAATCTGCTCTCCCTCCCTTCTTCTCTCTAAAAAATCAATAAAAACACATTTAAAAAGAAAAAAAGAAAACCTGCTCTTAATATAATAAAGTCAGTTATTTTCCCCTTCTGAGTTCTCTCAGGAGGAGCTCTAGTATTCTCTTCTTAAGTTCTGAAAATAAAACTGTCAGTCCTTTCTTTTTAAATTGAGAATAATTATTATATGCATAAAAATCATTAAAACCAATATTGAGACTTGAAAGCTTCCTTTATTTCTTTTATGATTTAACTTAGTAGTCCCTCTACTTTTAAAAGAATATAGTAAAGCCATAGGTTCTTCCTCTAGAAAAAAGTACATACAACATAAACACTTTTAGTATAATTTCACAGGGCACATATATAACAAATAATTTTGCCAGTCACTACATCACAGTAATTATCTAGGAATTCCCAAGGGCAGAAACAGGAATAAGAGCCCTGACCAGTTTGGCTCAGCACTTAGAGTGTCGGTCCACACACCAGGTTCAGTTCCCCCTAAGGGCACATTCCTAGGTTGCCCCAGTTGGGGTCATATGGGTGGCAACCAGTCGATGTGTCTCTCTCACATCGATGTTTCTTTCTCTCTCTCTTTTCCCCTCTATCCCTCCTGCTCTATCTGAAGATAAATGCAAAAAATGTCCTCAGGTGAAGATAAAAGAGAGAGAGAGAGAGAGAGAGAGAGAGAGAGAAACAAGAATAAGAAATGCTGTCTTAGCATTTAAATTACAGAAGCAATGTAAACAGTTGAACCATACATACATTATTTTCTCAGCTTCATCAGCTTCTACAGAGATCATGACTGTTGGTAGGTTAAAAAATGTCAGTGTTTCTGTCTCTGTGAGTATTATCTCTATAGTCTTCTCTAAGTCTTCTTTTATTACAGTTTTTCTAGGTAGTCTCATAACTCGTAAATCTAAAATACACAACACATTTATCAAAATACATTTAAAATACACAAATCATTTATCAATTTCTATTTTAAAATTTCATTTCATAGCCCTGGCCGGTTTGGCTCAGCGGTTATAGCGTCGGCCTATGGTCCACAGGGACCTGGGTTCGGTTCCCGCTAAGGGCACATACCTCGGTTGCGGTTTGTCCCCGGCCCTGGTTGGGTCGTGTGGGTGGCAACCACTCGATGTGTCCCTTTCACATCGATGTTTCTCTCTCTCTCTCCCTCCCACTCTATCTGAAAAAAAAAAAAAAAATGTCCTCCGGTGAGGATAAAATTTCATTTCATAAGTTATCTTGTATACATTAGAGGTGGCTTTATATGGTCAAGGAATAGGCCACGTTGAGAGATATAGTCTATTCAATCCCTCTGAAGCCAAACTGGATCTTACAGCCCATGAATAGTGTCTGTTTGTAATAACAAGCCTACCCCAGTCTCATAGTTGTAGTAATAACTCCAAGGGCATCCCATCGCATCTATCCCATAATATTAACAGGGAGAATAGGGTAAGTGACTGTTGATATTATTCAAGGATATGGGCAAGTATATTTTAGGGATGTAGTATGCAACCCTTCTTTGAGCCTAAGCTAATTTCTAGTCTGTATCTGTAACAGTCTTTTGTTTTCTGTTTGGCCTTATCAGCGGTCTTTTGATTTAGATTACAGCCCACCTCTAATCATCTTCACCAGGTGCTGAAGACTCTCCAATGAAATTTCTAGTTAAATATAGGATCAAAATAGGTTCAATATCCACGCAAATAATACTTTGAAAATGGTTAGCCTCAAAAGGGACCTTTTGGCTAGCCAGAGGTCCAAGTTCCTTTAAAAAAGTCATTCAGGACTCGGGGAGTTGGACTTGGGTGACAAAGAGCCATGACAAGGTATATAGGTCAGATAGAGTTTGATATTTTATGTTTAAAACAGCTGTGAAGCAAGAATCCATGAGTCTTTGGGAAGGATAAAGCTTGAATAGCTTTAGAAAAACAAAACTTAATGGTATACACTTTCCAGAGACTAAGGATCAGTCTCCTCTTAAGGCCCGGACCCTAAGAAAAGCACCTTTCTTATAACCTAAAAAAATACAAGTCATTAATTCCACTAATTCCAGGAAAGTAATAGTCTAGTCAATCTTCGACAAATGGCAGAGGAACTACTATTCATAGACAAAGCCCTAGGATGGCAAAAAGGATTTTTTGTCTGGATGTCTGTATTAATCATCGTCTGAATGTTGCTCAAATATGGTACATATTGAGAAACTGCCTGAAACTCCCCCATATACCTATAGAATCTATTTTATGGGTCAGATCCCTTAACACTAAAATGGCCTTACAATTAGATTTGATAGATCCCTTTCCACCTGGAAAAGCATCACAAATTTATCAATTTGTCTTGCCTGCTCACAGTGATGGAGAGAACACATTTTCTCCATTCCCGAGAGTTCTCTCAGAAGAAGGAGCTCTAGTATGACAATCTTGGCTCCTCTCCACACCCTTACTCATGATGTCGCTTAAGAGGGTTGGAGTGGACCTGAAGTTGTCTAGATTCTTTAATGAATGGGTATGTAGGTCTGTCAAATTTGAGAGTTCAACAGCAGTCAACAGCAGTCTTTTACCCATAATGTCATATTTTGGCTCCAATTTATCATAGCTACCCTTACTATATTTTTCAATTAATTCAGAACTGTTTGGGGGGAAAAGGATGCCATCATTTGGCTATATTCAGAGACCCCAATAGACAGCAATCAGTGAAGGCTCCCTTGGTTCCTACTCAGGCTAGAATTGGTGTGATACAATTACAATACAATTGAGTCGCAAAAACATTTTATTCTTACCCCTCTTCATAAATGGATTATATGAAAATCAAGATATGTTCTTTATGAGTTTATGTGAAAATCAAGATATGTTCTTTATGAGTTTGGATTCAGATCCTTGTTTTTCATGACCTTGATTACCTCATGCCATTCCCTTCAGGCCTGTAGTGTTTCTGTTGAGAAGTCAGCTCAAAGCCTTATGGGGTTTCCTTTGTAGGTAACCTGTTGCTTCCCACTTGCTGCTTTTAGGATTCTCTCTTTGTCTTGAATTTTTGGCACTTTTATTACTATGTGTCTTGGTGTGGGCCTGTTTGCTTTCTTCTTACTTAGGGCTCTCTGTGCTTCTTGAACTTGAATGCCTTCTTCCTTCACCAAATTAGGGGAAGTTTTCTGTCACTATTTCTTTGAATATATTCTCTATCCCTTGCTCATTTTCGTCTTCGGGGACTCCTATGATGCGAATATTATTACGTTTCCAGTGGTCCCACAGTTCTCTTAAGCTGTTTTCCTGTTTTTTAATTATTTTTTCCTTTTGGTTTTCTGATTGGTTGATTTTTTCTACCCTATCTTCTAATTCACTGCTCCGCTTCCTCAGCTTCCTCTACTCTGCTATTTAGACTTTCCAATGTGTTTTTTATTTCTGATGTCATTCTTCATTTCTTCTTGGTGGTTTTTAATTTCCAACTGGTTGATTTTCAACATTTCTATGTCTTTACTCATGGTGCTCATGTCCTTACACATGCTGTTGAGCTTCCTCAACATCATGGCTCTGAATTCTAGTTCTGTTAACTTGCTTCACTGCACCTCATTTATCTCATCTTCAGTAGAGGTTTCTTGTTCTTTCATTTGGCTTTTGTTTCTATGTTTCACCATTTTGGCTATCACAGTGGGCGTTGGAGTCTGCCAAATTTTCCCTGTGGGTGTTGGTGCTCTGCTGTTTGTGGCTCCCTCTCCTGGGTTTGGATGAGGCAAGGAGGACCCACTTTAAACACCACTGTCAAGTCTTAACTTTCCTGGTTAGAGTTGCTAGCCCAGGGAATGGTAGTTATTCTCTAGCTTTTTTGCCTGGAGGCTATTAGTAGCGGTTACCTGAAGAACCTTGGTTTCTGGGTTGACTGAAAATCTCCCTCAGGTGCTGAGTGTAAGAGGATTTCCCTAAAATGGGGCAGATGCTGGTTGTTAATGGGCCTCAATTAGCATTTCAATGGCCACCTGGTGGACCAGGCTGAATCTCCGAGGGAGGGGCCACCGCCTCTCACCAGGGCCCTGGGAAGGAGTAAGAGGACCACAGTCCTGCGTGGCTGCACTCAGCAAAAGCTCTGAGCACCCTCCAAATCCCGAGTGTCCCCACACAGTTCCAGTCCAGTCTGCCCTCCCTCTGCCGGAGCCCAAGGTGAGTGGCTGCTGCCAATTTAGCCTCTGTCCGGGCTCTGCACCATGGAGCCGCCTAGGACTTTAACCCGAGGGCCTCGGGTGCTGCTCCCAGCTAAGGGCAGCCAAGGCTGTGGCAGCTCCCAGCCGAGGCCACAGCAGGTCCCAGCGGGGGCCTCAGGTCCCAGCCGAGGGCGCAGGTCCCAGCTGAGGCTGCCGCAGGTTCCAGCCCAGGCAGCTGCGGACTGTGGGCTCCCGGCCCCCTCTCGCGTCCTCGGAAGCCTACCAGGATTGAGTCAGTGTCCCTGGTTATGTGGTCCTCCAAGCTGCCTTTTGGTTGCCCCTTCCTGACGATTTGTCTTTATTTTCGTTGTAATTCCAGTTTGGTCCTGGGAGATGGTCTGTGTAGCTTCCATTCACTCCACCGCCATTTTTTCTCTCCTATATCCAGTACTTTTTAAAGGCAATCAATATTCAAAGCCCACACTTAAACAGGATGGAGAGTTAAGCTCCACCTTCTTGAGGAAAGAATCTCAATATGAATGATTTGGAATTCTTTTGTACAGAAGATTTGTCTAATCTCCCTATCTATTTACTTGTTCAATCACTTATTTATATCAGTAATTACTCATGGGTATTTGCTTTATATTTTGGGGTATAATCCAATATTACCCTATTTATTTTGTTGTTGAAATTTTCCACCTTTGACCATTGGAAGCTCATTCTGTTGACTGCTGTGTCCCTTTCACATACCTCTACCATTTTTTGTTTGTTTATTGTAGTTTTTTCTTAGCACTTGTTTACTTTCTGATTTATCTTATATATTCTCTGTCACTGCCCTAGAATGCATCATTTCTCTAGAGATCCATGGTTCCTTTTTTTGGAGAATGGTATTAGAAAGCAAGATCAGGGTACTAGGTATCTATTGCTACTGGGATATCAGTTTCTAGGCCTTCAGACATTGTTCCTAGCAGACTGAGCCAGGAAATATTTGTTTCCATACTAACCCATGTATACATCTATATCAATATCAATATACATATATTAATCTGTATCTGTATTAACCTAAACATGATTTCATATTAATGTTTCTGATTCTTATCTAGCACCACATGTGTAATTCTAACCTCCCTGTTTGTCTATCACCTCCCACTCCAACAACAGTGTAAAATCTGCTTCCTATCATCGGCCTTCCATTTATTTACATTTTCAAACCTAGTATACATGTACAATGGTTCAGAATTGTCTACTCATACCCCCATGAAAAATGACATTATCAACTAGAGTACACTGTTTTATGTGCAGTTCCCATGTTTTAAATCTTACACTCTCTACTCAATTTCAACATCATTTAGGTCTACACTTTCTCTCTTCAACCACCACCACTCTTTCAATGAGGTGATGTCATACATTTGTGAAAGAAATTAGATTCTGATGTCACAGTCTGTATTCCATTCAAGGGTCCTTCAGTCTCTTAATTGTGCTATTTTAAAAAAATATAGATATATTAAGGTTCAAATTTTGTGATCAAAGATTCTAGAATTCATAAATGCATAGTTTCATGTATCCACCACTACAGTATCATACAGAATAGTTTCACTCTCTTAAAAAAATCTACTATTTCACCTATTCAACTCCCTGCCCTCTCCAAGCTCATCAACCATTGATCTATTTTCTGTTTCTTTACTTTTTCTTATTCGGTCTATTAACCTGATAAATTATATTTTAAAAAATTATAAATGTTGAACCAGTCTTATTTTCCTGAAATGCACCCAATTTGGTTGAGATGTATTAACCCCTTTTAAATTGCTAGATATTGTTTTACAATATTATTTAAAAAAATTTTTGTATCTCTGTTTCATGCGAGTTATTGGTCTTTAATTTTGTTATAATGTCTTTATCTGGTTTTTGGTATTATGGTAACGTTACCTCATAAAATGAGTTGGTGAATGTTCCCTCTTTACCTATTTTTTGGGATAGACTATATCAGCAATTTTCAATTGATGCCATTGTGCACTGGTGTGCCGCAATAATTTTTAAAACATGCAGTACCTGACTAGTAAGGGGCACTGACCTCTTTTCCCTTAGATTGTCAATTTAAAAATGACAACAGCCAACACAACAATAGCTGTCTGGTGTGAATGAATCAAAATTATACCTATCTTTTCCCTACCTCAGAGCAGGTAGGTTTACACTTATCAGCACACCACTACTTATATCTAACCCCCTCCCAGATATTCCAATTCAATAGGCCTGAAATGAGACTTTACTATGGGAATTTTAAGGTATATACCAGGTGATGTTAATGTGCATTTAAGATTAAAAAACATTGCTCTAGTCTAAAAAATCCAACCATGTGATAGAAGTAGAATTGTTTAGGTGTAATTCACTTTAGAGACTAACTTCACCAGCACCTGGCCAAAATGATATACACATTTATATCATTCTTTGAGGCTTCCAGGGTGAGATTGTGTGACTTCTGTTTGTTTTTTTATGTAGACAAACAGAGGAAAGCCTTAGGTAAATCATTATATAAAAATTTTAGTATTTATCTTAAGAACAATGCGAATGCATAGAGGAGTTTTTAAGCACGGGAGAGTGATTAGATTGTGTTTTTAAACAGATCATTAGATCATTCTGGACACAGTTTGGAAAAACACATCGGAGGGTGGTAAGAATATATATAGAGGGCTGGAAGTGGTCATGACAATAATCCAATCCTCTCAGTTTCCCCCTGAGTAGATAAATTTCACTTCTGCAACAGATATTGCTGATTGCCTAAAATTTCATTGCTGAGCCTTTCTCCTTTCCTTGCCTGTTTTCATTTAACAGAGGTTGGGACATCAAGTATTTAGCTTTCCTACACTCTCTTATAGCTAAGGGTGGCCAACTGACACAGTTCTAGCCAACAAGATAAAAGCAAAAATAAATAAGAACAACAAAGTCTTCTGGGAAAGCTTTTTCTCTCCTGATAAGGGAGATGTGACTGGTGCTGTTGCCTTTCTCCTTCTTCTGCCTTTAATGTGGATATAGTAATACCCAGAGCTGGGATAGACATTTTGAGACCACAAGGCAAGAAGCAAGAAAAGGCTTAAAGAAAGAGAAGCGTGGAGCTGCCAATCCAGAGTCTGGCATAATTAAGCCACAAAAGCAAGATCAAAAGTTATCTACCTCTTAATTTTTTTTTTTTTAATTTTCTTTATTGATTTGAAAGAGAGAGGGAGAGGGAGAAAGAGATAGAAACATCAATGCGAGAGAACATCGATTGGCCGCCTCCTGCATGTCCCCCACTGGGGATCAGGTCTACAACCTGGGCATGTGCACTGACCGGGAATCAAACCAATGACCTCTTGGTGCATGGGACAATGCTCAACCACTGAGCCACACCAGTCTGGCCACCTCTTAACTTCTTTTGATGTGAGAAAAACAAGCCTTTATTTGTTTAAGCTAGTGGTAGTTAGGTATTCTTTTACTTGCTGTCAGAAGCATTCTAATTACATCAAAAATAAGAGTTCATCATTAAAAAAAAGACGATTCCATCAAGCACTTTTCCAACCGCATCAATATTTTCACTAATTCTTCATTATCATCTCAGAGGGAAAGACATCCTTAGGGTACTCCAAGGAAAATGTTCCTCAAGTAGGTACTTATTTCTTCCATTACTTCTTACCAACCATTATGTCCTCATTCTTTTATCTTCGCTTTCATAATCCTTCACACTACCTAATATTTTATATATCCTTGGCCTGGAATAGGCCTCTGCTCTTCATTCTGACAAATTACAGTAGAACCTCGGTTCTCTAACTTAATTTATTCCAGGAGGCTGTTTGAGAAACTATTTGTTTGAAAACCAAATCATTTTTTCCTATTAGAAATAATCTAAATTGAATTAATCTGTTCCAGACTCCCAAGAGATTCCCTCTTTTAACCTTTCTTACATACAGTACGTATCTAATGTAGTTTAATCTATAAATAAACACTTATTTTCTTAAATTTATTGAATCACCCCACTAGCCTTAAACAAATCACTTTCAGCACTTGTTCCAGGGGTGTCTTTCAGGAGGTGAGTATGTGGCATCTTTGCTTTTACACATATCACTGCCTCCAAAATGCTGTCACCAGCTCTAACTGCTTTTTGTTTATCCAAATCAACAACAGTTTTTCTACCTCTTCAGTTGCCTGTGATCATTGTTTCTTTCACACCTTTAGCAACATTAACACTTTTTTTTTTTTAATCCTCACCTGAGGACATTTTTCCATTTTTTGTTAGAGTGGGAGGAAGAGAGAGGGAGAGAGAGGGAGAGAAGAAGGGAGGGAGGGAGGGAGGGAGGGAGAGAGAGAGAGAGAGAGAGAGAGAGAGAGAGAGAGAGAGAGAGAGAGAGAGAGAGAGAGAGAAAGAAACATCGACGGGAAAGGACACATCGAGTGGTTGCCACCCACAGGGCTGGGGACAAACTGCAACCGAGGTATGCGTCCTTAGCGGGAACCGAACCCAGGTCTCTTGGGACCGCAGGCCGATGCTCTAACCACTAAGCAAAACCAGACAGGGCAACGTTAGCACTCTTGATGGCCTCTTTTTGTTTTAAAATTGTGCTAATCATCAATTTTACCAACAACTAGCCTTCTCTCTTTGTTGTCTGTGGCCAGAGAAAGGCTTTTTGTCATGATGAAGTATCAGCATAAAATGGTTGTCAGGTTGACAATCAAAAACCGAAATTTGGTTCGACAACCGAGACAGTTTTTCCGTGAACAACTTGGTAGAGAACCAAATTGTTCAAAATGGGAGACGTTCAAGAACTGAGGTTTGATAGTACTGTTACCTTTAAAAACCCAATTCAAAAGGCAGTATTTTTCCTCTCTGAACATTCTCTCTTTTACTCACCTCAAAGGATTTAATCTTTCATTTCTAAGTGCTCTCATCAAATTCTGCATATGTCATATTATAGCAATGATCCCAATGTATCTGAATTATGTCTCCAAGTAAGAAGCTGAGCTATTTTAAAACATGGTCTGTGGTTTCTGAGTCTGATGGTATAGGACAGTCAGTCAGTCACCTTGGGAACTTTTAGAATTATATAGATAGTTACTACCCTGGTAATTTTCATGTGGCTACTGTACAAACCAGCATTTGGGAATCATTACTATACTTCTTTTATCTCAAGTATCAAAAAATAATGAGCATATTTGCTAAAAAAATATAATGATTTATTACTGAAATAAATAACTGTATTTACATTACCTGTAAAACTAGTCAGTCCTCCTCGTTTATAGGATGGTTCTTCTAGGTCTTCTGCTATTGATTCAGTAGTTGATATACTTGACTTGGAAATTACACTGCTTCCTAAAACTGACCTTTAATAATAACAACATTATTCATTTATTTAGATGTCCTTATGGATAATTAAATATATAAATGAAAACATCAGATTGAGAAATCAATTATACCATAACATAAGCAAAACTGATAAATAGTTCTTCAAACATCAAATTTATTTTTAATATTCTTTAAGTAAGAAGTCATTTTAAATATATGTTAGAGATAAGACATGTTAAAACTATGCTTAAAGTCCTTCAGTGGATTCCCAATATATTTAGGGTAAAAACCCAAAATATAGCCAACCTACTTAGACTCTCCATCTTCAGTATCACTCTTTCCTCCCCTTTTTCTTTCTTTCTTTTTTTTTTTTTATCCTCACCCGAGGACATTTTTCCATTTTTTGTTCAGATAGAGTGGGAGAGAGAGAGAGGAAGAGAGAGAGAGAGAAACATCGAAGTGAAAGGGACACATCGAGCGACTGTCATCCGCACGACCAACCAGGGCTGGGGACAAACTGCAACCAAGGTACGTGCCCTTAGCGGGAACTCTCTGGACCACAGACCGATGCTCTAACCGCTGAGCCAAACTGGCCAGGGCTCTTTTTTTTAATTCTTCAGTCTTATAGAGCTTTCCTACTTCAGAGCCTCAGCCTAGAATGCTCTGCCTTTCATTTTTCATCAGGTTTCTGCCTGTCATTCAAATCTCATCTTTTTTTTTTTTGTTTTAATCCTCACCCGAGGACATTTTCCCATTTTTTTGTTCAGATAGAGTGGGAGGGAGAGAGAGGAAGAGAGAGAGAGAGAAACATCGATGTGAAAGGGACACATCGAGTGGCTGCCACCCGCACGACCAACCAGGGCCGGGGAAAAACTGCAACCGAGATACGCGCCCTTAGCGGGAACCGAACCCGGGTCTCTCAGGACCACAGGTCGACACTCTAACCGCTGAGCCAAACCGGCCAGGGCCAAATCTCATCTTAAATGTGACTTATTCAATTTGATAAAGGTCCTCTCAAGATTTACTTAAAAGAAAATCTATGTACCCAGTGGGAAATCAATAAAAAATCTCAAAATAATTTCCTTAAATATATGAACTTAAAATTACTCCACGGTATTAAATGCTTTCTTCCTCCTTTTTATAGTTCCAACTGGGTCAAGTTTATTGGAATATCCATTGTTTTGCTGAGCACTCCCATGGATACTAGAGAGCAGCACTTTTTCCCTGAAATCTCATGCTTACTTAACATTTGGAATTTTTAATTTGTCAGACTGAAAATTATACGCTCAAATATTTCCCCATAATCTTAACATTGTTTTAGGATGTGCTGCTTTGTTATTGTAAAGACTCTAAACATCTCTACTATAAGCATTCATAAAATTTCAAGTATATTAGTATCTACATAATAAATGCATAACATTTCCTCTATAAAAAAGGAAATTATAAAACAAGAGAGAAATCAAACCCTGAGAGAACAGGGATTTGCATGAGCAAATGGAGGGAAGAAAAGAATAGCCACTCTCTCCCATAAATTGCAGCATGAAAGAAACTGAAGGAACTTGTCTGTTGGTATGTAATACTAGCTGCCTCTTTTGGTTTTTTAGGAAATATTGAGTAAAAGTTATATATTTTTTCACAAATGTTTTGGTGTGAGCACAGGGGAACTTAAGACATGCAAAGCTCTACATCTAATTAGAATTAATTATGAGCCCTGGCCAGTTTGGCTCAGCGGTTAGAGTGTCGGCCTGCGGTCCAGAGAGACCTGGGTTTGGTTCCCGCTAAGGGCATGTACCTCAGTTGCAATTTGTCCCCAGCCCTGGTTGGGTCAAGCGGGTGGCAGCCACTTGATGTGTCCCTTTCACGTCGATGTTTCTCTCTCTCTCTCTCCCTAAAATAAATAAATAAATAAATAAATAAATAAATAAATAAATAAATAAATAAATAAATAAATAAATAATAAAATTAATTATGAGAGGAGCATAGAGGTGGCATATGAGGATTATAGAGTGGAGCTGGGTGGCTAGAGGCAATAGATGTCTAAGTTACACATATGCAGCTTAAGTGAAAAGACAATATATATGATATAAAAAAAGTATAGAATAGTAGACTCTACCTTGTAAACTGCCCTAACATACTCGGATTTAGTGTATTTTGATAAAGGCTAGGGGAAGCTACATATTCCGATGCAAATGATGCTTCTTGTGATGTCAATAGGTTACTTGGCTTTGCTGAACCACTATATGAATCTGGATGGTAAAGAGCTCGAGGAGTAACATCAACTCCATTTACATCAAACACCTGTGGAAAATGGCAATATAAAATGAAATAAGTAAAAAAGATGAAGTTTCTAAATAATAAGTCCTAGAAAATAGAAATAAAAGTAGTTGGAAAAAAGTATGTTTCTAGAATAGGATAAAACATGAAAAATTGAACAATAAAAGATTTTATGCTTGCCCTGGCCAGTGTGGCTCAGTTAGTTGGAGCATCATCCTGCGCACTGATTGGCATGGGTTTGATTCCCCATCAGGGCACATACCTAGGTTGTGGTTTGATACCTGGTCAGGGTGCATAAGGGAGGCAACTGATTGACGAATCTCTCTCACATCGATGTTTCTCTCTCTCTCCCTTCCTCCCTCTCTAAAATAAATAATAAATTTAAAAAAGATTTTATGCTTAAAATGTTTCTTAAATAGGCATACATTTTTAAGTCTTATGTTTTACCTATGTATAAGCAATATATATTAATTCTGAGAAAGATTGTTATTCCATCAGATTATTATTTTTGTATATTTATTTTTTGTGTGTATAAGCTTTAAAAAAACTTACTTTTCATTTAACATTTATTAATAAATATTTCCAGATTACATATATATTCTTGTTTTCAGCTAACTCTTCATCTTTTCAATTATGAAATTTAACACATACAGAAATGTAATTAAAATAAAATCATATAGTTAAACAATATAAAGCAAGTGTTCTAATAATCACACTAAAAATTAGAACATTGGCAGGACCTCTAGGAGACTTTGCCTCTCTGGATCACATATAGGGCCCCCACCCTTTTCCCCTTCTAGATCACAGCCTCTCTCTCCTCTCAGTGGTAATTATTAACTTAATTTGGGTAATCACTTCCTTTCTTCTTGTTATAGTTATATTAAGCATGCTTTCCAAAATATAGCATTTACTTTTTATATTTTGAAATAAAATATGCATACATTTTATTTTATTTTATTTTATTTTATTTTATTTTATTTATTTATTTTTAATCCTCACCCGAGGATATTTTCCCATTGGTTTTAGATAAAGTGGAAGGAAGGGAGGGAGGGAGAGAAACATCGATGTGAGAGAGACACATTGACTGGTTGCCTCTAGCATGACCCAGACCAGGGTTGGGGATTGAACCTGCAACCCAGGTACATGCCCTTGACTAGGAATCAAACCCTTGACCCACGGCCCTTCGGTCCATGGGCTGAAGCTCTAACCACTGAGCCAGGGCAAATATGCATATATTTTAAAGTACACATATAAATGTACAGTTTAATAAATGTTCACCAACTGAACACAGTCATGTACCCAGTATTCAGATTTAGAAACAGAAAATTACCAAAATCCCAGAAGTTCCTTTCATGAGAGACACTATCTCCCACCAAAGGTAACAATTATTCTGATACCATGGATTAGTTCTTCCTGTTTTTAAACTTTATGTAGATGGAATCATACAGTATATACTCTTTGGTATCTGGTTTCTTTTTTTCAATATTATATTTGTCAGATTCATTCATATTATCAAGTATAGTTTGTAGATGGTTCATTTTCATTGTTGTACTCTATTGCATTGTGTGAAAATGTCATAATTTTTTTTACCTATTCTATTGTTCACAGACATTTCTGTAGTTTCCATTTTTTTGGCTATTACAAATGGTGCTGCTATGAACACTGTTGTATGTGTTCTGCTGAACATGCTGTATGAATTTATATTGGGTATATACCTAAGAGTGGAATTTCTGGGCAATGAACTACGTATATGTTCATCTTTAACAGATACTTCTAAAGTTTTTGTAAGTGGTTCCCTCCAACAATGTATGAGAGTTCTGGTTGCTCCAGATTTTTGCCAGCACTTTATATTTACCATGTTTATTGATATAAGTTAGTTTTGCCTGTTTTTAACATCTAAATAGTTATATATTATGACTGATACTGTCATTTTTTGTTCAACAATGTTTTTATATTTCTTCATGTTGTTGCATGTAGTTTGTTCATTTACTGATGACTGTAGTCTGTTGGATTAGTGTATATCATATATAATTTTTCCATTTTACTTTGAATAGACATTAAATTGTTTCCAGTTTTAGAGCATCATCTAAACTGTTTTAATGAACATTTATATAAAAGTATACTGGTATACATGAGAATGCAATTCTATAGGGTATGTACAGATGTGCATTTGATGGGTCAACTTGATAAGATAACACCAAACTGTCCTCCAAATTGGTTGTAAAAATTTTTAGATTAGTGAGTGACAATTGCTGTTACCCCATATTCTCACTAACAACTGGCACTGTCAGGTTTATAAATTTAAGCCTGTCTGGCATGGTATACAGGGATCTCATTTTGATTTTAATTTCTATAAAGTTGAGGTTTTTTTCATATAATTATTCCTATTTTTATTCCTTTTTTTGGAGGAAAATGTCCCATTCATGTCCTTTGCACATTTTCTTTTGTTTTTAAATTGATAATGGAGTTCATTAAGTATTCTAAATATGAATCTTTTTAGTTTTATGTTATGCAGCTGTCTTTTTACTTTGTGGCTTCATTTTTTGTGTGTGATTTTTTTAATGAATAGAAATGCTTAACCAAATTTATCATATTTTCCTTTATGGAATATACTTTAGATGTCTCATTCAAAAAACATTCCCAATCCTGAAGTAATGAAGATATTTTTCTATCTGTTGGTTTTCATGTTTAGATCTGTAATATACCTGGAATTGAGTTTTGTGTATAAGATGAGGAAGAAAGCCAATTCTATTCTAAATGAATATCCAATCGTCTCAATAAGAAGTTTTGAAAATCCTGTCATTTCCCCATTACTCTGTAGAGCACATTTATTATAAAACAAGTGTTTATATATGTTTGAGTCACTTGTAGGCTCTCTGCTCATTCCTTTTTTTAATCCTCACCCGAGGACATTTTTCCATTTTTTGTTGAGAGAGAGAGAGAGAGAGAGAGAGAGAAACATCGATGTAAAAGGAACACATCAAGTGGTTGCCACCCGCACGACCCAACCAGGGTCGGGGACAAACTGCAACGGAGGTACATGCCCTTAGCGGGAACCGAACCTGGGTCTCTCTGGACCGCAGGCCACTCTAACCACTGAGCCAAACCGGCCAGTGCTGCCCATTCCTTTTCTAATGTCACCCTTTTTTATTAAACTTGGTATCTGAGAGAGCAAGTCTTTCCACCAAGTTCTCAAGAGTGTCTTGGCTATTCTTAGGCTTTAACTGTTTCATATAAATTTTAGAATTACCTTGACAAGTTCCTGAAAAAAAATAGCATGCAACAAACACTTCTGAGATTTTGACTGAAATTGCAAAGAATCTATATGTCAAAATTGAGTAAAACTGATATGCTTACAATCTTTCTATGCATAAACATAATCTATCTCATTTTTTGTATCTTTAATGTATTCTAATAAAATGTTATGATTTTTAAAATACAGATATTTACATCTTTTGTTATATTTATCCAAAAATATGTGACATATTTTTGTGCTATTGTAAATGTTATCATTTATTATTATTATTTTTTAACCCTCCCCCAAGGATATTTTTTTCCATTCATCTTCAGATAGAGTAGGAGGGAGAGAGAGAGCGAGAGAGAAACATTGATGTGAGAGAGACACATCGACTGTTTGCCTCCCTGCAGGACCCTGACCAGGGCCAGGGACTGAACCGCAACTGATGTGCTTGCCCTTGACTGGAATCAAACCCACGACTCTTTGGTCCTCAGCTGATGCTCTAACTGCTGAGCCAAACTGGCCAGAGTATAAATGTTATCATTTAAAAATATGTAATTTATTAACCATTTGTTGCTGTATACATACAATTGTGTGTGTGTGCATGTGTGTTTTTTATTTGATATCCAGTAACCTTGCTAAACTCTTACTATTTTGATAATTATCAGGGGGTTATTTTTAATTTTATTTATTTGTTTAATTTTGTTCCCGGCATGCATTTATTGAAATCTGAATAAAGGATTCCCATGTGCTATCGCACCCTTCCTCACCCCCTAGATTCCCTCTAACTTTAACTTTCAGATTCAAAAAGGCAAAGGGTAATACATGTCAATGGTTATAAAAATTTACACTCTAATAATAAAAAACATTCCTTTCCCATGTGTCAGTGATTTCTGAAGAACCCCAGCACTGGGCAGTCAGTTAGCATGCCCATTGAAACTTGCACAGTCATAGCTAACTACAGAGTACTGAGTGTCTGTAGATTCATCCCCTAAGCTTCCACCTTGAAAGATAAAAGGTATGGGGCAGAGAAAATAATCAAAGATAAGAGACTCAGTCCTCCGGAGCTGTGCCACAATCCCCTGCAGTTCATCTCCAACAGCTTAATGCCTTCAAAAATCAGATTCCAAATGTCCCACAGTCTCTTTCAAATGTGTTTTTATGGATTGGGAAATCCACATTTTCTTACAATAATACATAAACAGCTTTTGCCTCTTAATTTTGGACCTGGAGAGTATTATACTAAGTGAAATAAACCAGTCAGAGAAAGACAAGTATCACATAATCTCACTTATTTGTGGAATATAATGATCAAAATAAGCTGACGAACAAAATAGATCCAGAGACATGGAAGTAGGGAACAGACTGACAAACCTTACAGGGAAGGGGGTTGGGGGTATGGAAAGAGATAAACTTATATGCATAACCAATGGACACAGACAAAGGGTGGTGAAGGCAGGGTGTGGGTGTGGCAGCCAGGAGGAGGGTGTCAATGGGGGAGGGGGGACATCTCTAATACTTTCAACAATAAAGAGAAAAACAAAAACAAAATAACTTTAGAACCATGTGATACAGCACCGTTTTGACCTGAGAGAAGAGACAGTTGTAATGTCCTCCCGGTTCACCAGTTTGTTTTTTGTTTCTGGTATTTTCTAATCAAAGAAGAGAAGCAGTCTCTTTCCTAGGTGCTAAAGGCCACTTTCTCTTTTGTTCATCTATTTCAGGTAGAACAATTTTTACAAATCCTTATGCTATCATTTCCAGGGCCTTTCTTAATTTCCTTGAAAAAGAAACTAAATGGGAAACATGCAATACCAAGTCATTCAACTAGATATTCCCTTCCTCATGTCATACAGACCACATGGGCCTGAATAATTAGCACATTAAATAACTCTGTTAAACAATCAGAGATTTTCAACATTAAAGACAATTATATCCCAAATCAACGGGCACATAGAGTGGTACATTTGAAAAGCCAAATGTATTTTTGAAAGATCATGCCTACAGTAAGTAAATCATGTAGTCATGGGACATTGAAATAAAGTTGATAAGGAAAAAGGCACATTGCGAAAGTTCAAGAGTAGACAGAACAGAAAAATTCTTTTTGTTTTGTTTCTAATGTAGGAGAAAGGGAAACAGGTGTATTAATTTTATATGTAGACAATTGTTCATATACAAATATTCAACATTTTGTTTCTTCTTTTCCAATTCTTATTCATTGCATTTCTTTTTCTTGTCATACTGAATTGGCTGTGACTCCCAAGAATGTTGGATAGAAGTGGATCCTTCTTAGAAATGTTTCACCATTAAATATAATCATTACTGTATGATTTTATAGATAAGGAATCAGATTAAGAAAGTTCCTTGTGATTTCCACTTTCATAAGAATCTTTCTTTTTAATCATAAAAATTTAATCTTATGAAATAATTTCTATCTGTATTTAGAGAATTATATGCTTTTTTCCTTTAAACTGTTAATATGGTAAATTACACTAATGAATTTTAAAATAGTAAACCAATCTTAATATCTTAGTATACACTCAATTTTCTCATGGTATTATTTTTTATTGTTATTGAATTTTGCTAATATTTTATTGAAGATTTCTCCATCTATGTTTACAAATAAGATTGGCTTGTAGTCTTTCTTTCTTATACTATTGTCGGCTGTTAATATAAAGACAAGACAAGCCTCATAAAATGAGTTTTGGAGTATACCCACTTTTATATTTCTGTTTTCACATCCATATATGTTTAGCATACATCATTGGTGAAAACCATCTGGGCCTGGAATTACTTTAAAGGAAGGTTTTAAAATTATTCATGTTACTTTCTTTAATAGCTCCAATTTTCAATTTTTGTTTGTTTCAGTAAAATAGATAAGTTTTAAAAGAATTTTTCCATTTTATCTTAATTTTGAAAGTATAAAATTAGAATAAATTTACATACAATATGCACTAATTATCTTTTAAAATAGCTTTTAAAGTGTACAATTCAGTATTTTTAGTATATTCACAGATGTGTGCAACCACCACCACAGTTCATCTCATTTCATTTTATATTTATTTATTTTTAAATATGGAATGCTTTACAAATTTGCATGTCACCCTTGCGTAGGGGCCATGCTAATCTTCTCTGTACTGTTTCAATTTTAGTATATGTGCTGCCGAAGTGATGAACCTGGAGATTGCTAAGCGAAGTAAGCCAGTCAGAAAAAGACAAATATCACATGATCTCACTTATATGTGGAATCTAATGAACAAAAGAAACTGAAGAACAAAATGGGTCCAGAGGCATGGATACACAGAACAGAATGACAGACCTCACAGGGGAAGGGGGACAGGAAGAGATTAACCAAAGAATATACAGGCATATCCTATGGACACAGACAATAATGTGGTAAAGGCTTGGGGTGGGGTAGGGGAGCCGGCTGGGTTGGAAATGGGGACATCTATAATACTGTCAACAATTTTTTAAAAAGGGAGACAGTCTGTACTATTTAACTATAACCCTTAAACCACCACAAATATATTTCATGTCTCTAGAGTTCTCTGTTCTGTACTTTAATATGAGTGGAATCATATAGTGTGTGGTATTTTGTGACTGGCTTGTTTCCTTTAATACAATAGTTTCAAGATTTATCCATGTTGTAGCATGCATTAGTACTTCATTACTTTTTATGGTTTAATGTTTTATTATATAGATATATCATATTTTGTTTAGCTATTTGCCTATTGCTGAACATTTGGGTTGTTTCTACCTTCTGGCTAGTATGAATAATGCTGCTGTAAACATTCATGTACAGGTTTCTGTGTGGAAATAGATCTTTTTTGCTGGGTCTTGTGGTAACACTATAACCTTTTGAAAAACTACCAGATTGTTTTCAAAAGTGGCAGGACCATTTTATGTTCCCATCAGCAGAGTATGAGGGTTCTGATTTCTTCACATCCTCACTAACACTTATCTTTTTTATTCTAGCCATTGCAGCGAGTGTGAAATAAATATTTCATTGTGGGTTTGATTTGCATGTCTCTGAGGACTAATAATGCCAAGTATTTTTTCCATGTGATTTTTAACCATTTGTATATATTCTTTTGGGGGAATATATGAGTATTCAAGTCTTTTGCCCAATTTGTAATTGGGTTATTATTGAGTTATAAGAATTCTTTATATAGTCCAGATACAAATCCTGTGACAGATATATGGTTTGCAAATATTTTCTTCCATTCTACATGTTGACATTTCACTCTCATAACAATGCCCTTCAAAGCACAAATATTTTTAATTTTGATAAAGTCAAATTAATCTATTTTTGCTGTTGTTATTCACATTTTTTGTGTCACATCTAAGAATCCTTAGCCAAATCCAAGGTCATGAAAATTTACCCCTATGTTTTCTTCTGAGTTTTTTTTTTAATTTTAGTTTTTACATCTAGGTCTTTGAATCAGAGATTCAATGTTGAGTTAATTGTTCTTATATGGTATGAGGTAAAGGTCCAACTTCATTCTTTTGCATGTGGCTCTCCAGTCATCCCACCAACTTTCACTAAAAAGACTATCCTTTTCCTAGTGAATGCTCTTAGTATCTTATTAAAAATCATTAGTGGTCCTGGCCGGTTTGGCTCAGCGGTTAGAGCGTCAGCCCACGAACTGGAGAGTCCAGGGTTCAGTTCCCACTAAGGGTATGTACCTTGGTTGCAGTTTGTCCCCGGCCCCAGTTGGGGTTGTGTAGGTGGCAATCAGTTGATGTGTCTCTCACATCGATGTTTCCCTCTCTCTCTCTTCCTCCCTCTCTATCTGAAGATAAATGCAAAAAATGTCCTCGGGTGAGGATAAAAAAAAAAAAATAGAAAAAAAATCATTTATGGCCCTGGCCAGTGTGGCTCAGCAGTTAGAGCGTTGGCCTGCGGACCAGAGTACTGGGTTTGGTTCCCACTAAGGGCACATACCTCGGTTGCAGTATGTCCCTGGCCCTGGTTGGGGTCGTGTGGGTGGCAACCAGTCGATGTGTCTCTCTCACATCGATGTTTCTCTCTCTCTTTCTCCCTCTCTCCCTCCTGCTCTATCTGAAGATGAATGCAAAAATGTCCTCGGGTGAGGATTTTAAAAAAAAGTAATTTGTGGTGAAGACCGAGGAGGCAGGGGCCAAGGTAGAGGGAGGCAAAGGGGAGATAAGTGGGGGATATCTGTAATAGAGTCAACAGTAAAAAAAACCCAGTTGACCATTGATATATGGATTTATTTCTGGACTCTCAATTCTATTCCATTGACCTATATGTCTGTCTTTGTGGCAGTACCACACTATCTTGAATACTATTGCTTTGTAGTAAATTTTGAAATTGGAAAGTGTGAGTCTGCCTACTTTATTGTTCCTTCTCACTTTTGGCTCTTGGGTTCCTGCAATTTCATGTGTATTTTAGAATTAATTGTCAATTTGTACAAAGTAAACTGGGATTCTGATAATGATTGTGTTGTATCTATAGATCAGATTGGGGAGTATCATTATCTTAACATGGCAATTCTTCTAATCCATGAATTTCGAATGCTTTCTAATTTATTTAGATCTTCTTTAATTTTATTCAGTAATGTTTTATAGTTTCAAGAGGATAATATATTACTTCTATTAAATTTATTCCTAAGTATTTTATTGTTTGTGATATTATTATGAAATAAATTTTCTTAATTCAGTTTTTAAATTGTTTATTGCAAATGTACAGAAATATAATTTATTTCTTTATTGATCATGTATCCTGTAACATAACAGAACCCATTCATTAGTTTTAATAATTTTTAGTGGATTTCTTGGGTGTTTATATATGCAACATTATGTAATCATAGAGATAACTTTATTTCTTCCCTTTCAGTCTAGATACCTTTTATTTATTTTGCCTACTTGCCCTATCAAAAACCTCCAGTACAATGTTGAATAGAAGTGGTAAGAACAATTTGTTTTGCTCCTGATTTCAGAAGGAAAGTACCCAGTCTTTCACAATTAGGTGTTGGTGGGTTGCTCATAAATGTCCTTTATCAGGTTGAGGAAATCCCATTTTAGTCTTAGTTTGTTAAATGATTTTCTTTTACCATAAAAGGATGTTAAATTTCGACAAGAACTTTTTCTGCATCTATTGGATAATCATGTGATTTTTGCTTTTCATTCTACTGATATGATGTATTAATAGATTTTTAGATGTTAAACCACTTTTCATCCCTGGAATAATTCCCAGTTGTTATGGGATGAATTGTCTCTCCTCAAATTCATATGTTGAAGCCTTAACACCCAGCACCTGTAAATATGACTGTATTTGGTGATAAGGCCATTAAAGAGATAATTAAGTTAAAATTAGATAGGGTGAGCCCTAATCCAATCTGACTAGTGTCCTTAAAGAAACAGTAGATTAGGACAAGGAGACAACAGAGATAAACACACACAAAGGAAAGATTAGGTAAGCACACAAGAAGATGGCCACCTGCACACCAAGGAGAGATGTCTCAGAAGTAAAGAAACCTGCCCATACCTTGATCTTGGACATCTGGCCTCCAGAACTAATAAATTTCTGTTGTTTAAGCCACCCCAGTGCTAAATTTTTTTATAGCACACTTAGAAAACTAATGCAATAATGATGTACAATTCTTTAATTTGGTGTTACTTTTGTATATGGTGTAAGGTAAGAGTCCCATTTCATTCTTTTCATGTAGCTACCAGTTTTCACAACACCTTCATGAAAAAGACTGTTTTTCCCCATTGCATAGTCTTGGCATTCTTGTTGAAAATCATTTGACATCGCCCTGGCTGGTTTGGCTCAGCGGTTAGAGCATCAGCCTGCAGTCCAGAGAGACCTGGTTTCAGTTCCAGCTAAGGGCACATACCTTGGTTGCAGTTTGTCCCCGGAACTGGATGGGTCGTGTGGGTGGCGACCACTCGATGTGTCCCTTTCATGTCGATGTTTCTCTCTCTCTCTCCCTCCCACTCTATCTGAACAAAAAATGGAAAAATATCCTCGGGTGAGAATAAAAAAAAAAAAGAAAATCATTTGACATATATCGAGGGTTTATTCCTCAGCCCTATATTCTATTCCACTGGTCCGTATTTCTTTTTTATGCCAATACTACCCTGCATTGATTATTGCAGCTTTTAAAATCAGGAATTATGTTTTTAAATCAGGAAGTATGAGACCCTCAACTTTGTTCCCCTTTTCAATATTGTTTTGGCTATTTGGGGTCTCTTGCTATTCCATATAAATTTTAGAATAGATTTTTTAAATTTTTCTGTAAAAAATGTCATTGGAACTTTGATAGGGATTGCACTGAATGTGTGAATTGCTTTGGGTAGTGTTGACATCTTAACAATATTAAGTCTTCCAAACTATGAACAAGGGATTTTTTTCTCATTTATTATTATCTTCTTTTATTTCTTTCAGCAATTTCTGTAGTTATCAGTGTAGAAGGCTTTCAACTCCTTAGTTTATTCCTAAGTATTTTTATGCTATTGTAAATGGATATCCTTATTTAAATTTTCTTCTTGGAGTGTTTACTACTCAGTGTATAGAAATGCAGCTGATTTTTGTATGTTCATTTCCTATCCCACTTTTCTGAATTTATTTTTTTTAATGTGAAATCTTTAGGGTTATCTACATATAAGATCATGTTATCTGTGAACTGAGATAATTTTACTTCCTCCTTTCCACTTTAAATGACTTTAAAAATATGTATATTTTTATTAATTTTTTTAGATAGAAAGGGAGAGGAGGAGGGAGAGAGAAACATTAATGAGAGAGAAACTTTGGTTGGCTGCCTCCTATACACCCCACACTGGGGATCGAGCCCAAAACCTGGGCATGTCCCCTGACCAGGAATCAAACCAGCGACCTCTCGGTGCACGGGATGACACTCAATCCACTGAGCCACACTGGCCAAGCTAAATTACTTTTATGTCTTTTTCTTGCCTAATTGCCCTGGCTAGAACACCCATTATTATGTTGAAGAGAAGTGGCAAAAGTGGGCATCCTTGTCCTGTTTCTGTATTTCATCATTGTGTATGATGTTAGCTGTAGGTTTTACAGATGTTGCTGAGAAAATCCCTTCTTTCAAGTTAGTTGAAACATTAAAGAAAAAAAATTTTAAATCATAGATATTTAATTTTTTTCTAAATGTTTCTCCTTTTTCTGTTTTCTTTCTTTCCTTTTTTCAGTCTATTAATATGGCAAGTAGTAATGATTTTTAAATATTGGAACAACCTTGCACACATTATCCCTACTTGGTCATGATTATCCCTTTTATATAGTATTAGCAATACTATGTAATATGTATGTGTTTTATATGTATATGTGTGTATAATATATACATAATGTATATAAATGTCTATGCTATATATATGTGTGTATGTATATATGTATGTGTGTATATATGAATATGTATGTATGTGTGTGTGTGTGTGTGTGTGTATATATATATATATATATATATATATATATATATAAAATTGTTTTGAAGTAAATATTTGTGTACTCCCAAAATTCATGTTGGAACCCTAATCCCAATGAGATGGTATTGAGAGATGGAACCTTTGAGAGGCAATTAGGAAATGAAGATGGAGCCCTCATGAATGAGATTAGTGCCCTTATAATCAAAGGCCAAGAAAACTAGCTAAATCTCTTTCCACCCTATGAAGATACAATGAGAAGTTGGCAGTCTGCAACCTGATAGTGGGTCCTCACCAGAACCTCATCATACAGGCACCCTAATTTTGGACTTCCAGAACTATGAGAAATAAATTTGTTTGTAAGCCCGTCACTCCATGGTACTTTGGTATAGCAGCTTGAGCTAAGATAGTACATGTAATATATATGCAAATATGTAATATATTCATTTATTAAAACTATATAGTGTTATTTCCATTTTTGGGCTATTATAAATAAAACTGCTATAAACTTTCATGTACTAGTCTTTGTATAAATCTATACTCTTGTCTCTTGGGTAAATATCTAGAAGTGGAATAGTAATTACATATTTAACATTTAATAAACTGCCAAATTATTTTTTTTAGTTGTTGTTTTTTTATAATTTATTTATTTTTGTTATAGATGTTTCTCCTTTTCCCCCCACTGATTCCCTCTTCCCCCTCACTCCCCACCCTGTCCCCACCTTTGTTGTCCATGTCCATTGTTCATACACATATGCATATAAGTTCTGTGGTTTATCTCCCCCCCCCCTCTTCAGGGGATTGTCAGTCTGTACCCCACTTCCACCTCTCTGGGACTACCCCATTCCTCAGACTGTTATGTTCATTATATTCCACAAATAAGTGAGATCATGTGATATTTGTCTTTCTCTGCTTGGCTTGTTTCACTTAGGATAATACTTTCCAGGTCCCTCCATGTCGCCTCAAAGGATAAGAGATCTTTCTTTCTTACAGCTGCATAGTACTCCATTGTGTATATGTACCACTGCTTTTTTATCCATTCGTCTACTGATGGACATTTGGGCTGTTTCCAGATCTTAGCTATTTAAATAGTGCTGCTACGAACATGGGGGTACATATATTCTTTCTGATTGATTTTTCAGGCTTCTTAGGGTATATTCCTAGAAGTGGGATCACTGGGTCAAATGGAAGTTCAATTTTTAATTTTTTGAGGTAACACCATATTGTTTTCCACATTGGCTGCCCCAGTCTGCATTCCCACCAGCAGTGTAATAGAGTCCCCTTTTCTCCACACCCTCGCCAACACTTGTTGTTTGATGATTTATTGATGGTGACCATTCTGACAGGTTTGAGGTGATACCTCATTGTTGTTTTAATTAAAATTATTTTTCATTTTTCAGTTTATGAGAGTTCTAGTTCCTTCACATACTTGCCAACATTTAGTATGATCAGTCTTTTAATTTTCGCCGTCCCAATAGGTGTGTAGCAATATCTCATGGTTTTACTTTGCATTTCCCTGATGATTAATGCTGATCACCTTTAATGTGCTCATTTGCCATCTGAATATGTCCTTTGGTAAAATGTGTTCAAATGTTTCACTCGTATTTAAAATTAGGTTGTCTTGCCCTGGCCGGTTTGTCTTGCTCAACGGTTAGAGTGTCAGCCTACAGACCAGAGTCCAGGGTTCAGTTCCCACTAAGGGCACGTACCTCAGTTGCAGTTTGTCCCCGGCTCCGGTTGGGGACATGTGGGTGACAACCACTTGATTTGTCTCTCTCACATGGATGTTTCTCTCTCTCTCTTCCTCCCTCTCTCCCTCCCACTCTATCTGAAGATAAATGCAAAAATTGTCCTCAGGTGGGGATAAAAAATAAAATAAAATTAGGTTGTCTTAATATTGTTTCGAGCATTGTTTATATATTTTGGAAACAAGTACTTTATCAGATATATGCTTTGCAAATAACCATTCCCATTATGTGGCTTTTCTTTCCATTCTCTTAGCAGTGTCATTTATTTATTTATTTATTTATTTATTTATTTATTTATTTATTTATTTAATTTTTGTTACAGATGTTTCTCCTTTTTAACCCCATTGACACCCTCCTCCCCATTCCCCCCACCCCTTCCCCAGCTTTGTTGTCCATCCATGTCCATTGGTTATTAGCAGTGTCTTTTTGATGAAATCCTGTTTACAAATTTTATCTTTAATAGACTGTTTTTGGTGTCATATCTAAAAAAATCTTTGCCTAGCCCATTTAGACTTATATATTATAAACTTTTCTATATAACAAGCTATTATAACAAAGACTATATTATACTTTGTTTAAAAGGCAATTCTTAATAAGTTCTCTAATGAGATAAGATAAACTATTTTATGACAATTGAATTAGTATTTTCTAGAATATACTGCAAAGAAGAGGGGATGACAGCTGTACTATCTGTATTAGAGCTATATTAGTTACAATCAATATCATAACTAGTTCTTAAGGTGATGAGTAGATTTTTCTCACTCCACTCTAATATTACCAATAATGAATTATAGGAGGCAACTGCCAATATTATGCTATAAGATATGTGGTAAAGACTAATGAAATCAATATATCAATATTAGGAGTGATTATATTAAAACAGCATATTTTCTATCTTTAACAATTCATCAAGTTCTTCAAAGTGTCATTTTCAAACGACACTCGAATTCTAAAAAATATTACCTGTATGAATGTCTTTGTGGTGGAAGTTTTTTCTATTGCTTTCATCTCTGGTACCATCATCATGGTTTTTGACATACCCATTTTGCTTTGGTTTGCACTAGCATATCCTTTCATTTGAGCTTTTCCTGGGCCAGGAAAGTTAATTATAGACTTCCTTGGCTGTAAGCCAATGTTCCTATACCAGGAAAAGAAAACATAATACAGAGAATCCACAATTGAAAAAAAAACTAACCAACAATAAAACACTTTCATTTAGAATCATGAAAACAATCTAAACATATAAATAAGAAATAGTACTACTACTTGAGTTCATTATGTATAAACATAGTTCTAGAAATGTTTAAATGCATTATGTCAATTTTCCCACACAGCTCTAAGAGGTTACTATTGCTTTTGTATGAAACCACAAAAGTTTAGAGGCAAATGTGTCTACCAGAGTTTAATTTTAAACCTAGGCAGTCAGATCCAAAGTCCACATTGATTTTTCTGGGCCTGTTTCCTTATCTGTATAATGAGGATAATAATAGTATCTAATTCAAAGGTTATTTGAGGATTAAAAAAATTAATTTATATAGTATGGTTAGGAAGTGTCTGACATGTAATGAGCACAAATGAATGTAGAGTGCAGTTACATAGGCAGATTGAAGCACGAGTATAAACCTGGGAAAGAAGATCATTTTCTTGCCTGAACAATTACATAATTTTTAATAGGAAGAGACGTTATTATAAAAATGTTTATATCCTGGAGGAAAAATATGATTTCACTTTTGGATCTACTCTGTAAATTTCCTAAGATAAAAATCCATCTTATCATTCATTCATTCTAGTACTCTGATTGTCCTGTGGATTTCTATAAAATAAGGATGACCTGCCCTTAGATTTTAAAAAGGAAATATATTTCCAAAGAAAACATTTTTAACAAGTTTTACTTTCCAAATCATAAAAGATCACACTAGAATAAAATATTTTAAAAAGACATCAATTTACTTTTCATATTTTATTCATAGAATTTATTCCTATTTGACACTTCGTTGTTGACTACTCCTCTACTAGAATATAAGCATGTTTAGTGTAAGAACTTTGTCTTGTTCATTGCTATATTCCTACTACCCAGTACAGTACCCAGTATATTATGGGCACAAAGTAAGTATTATTTAAGTAAATGAATTCCATCCACTTTTTAAGTATTCTACCTTTTCCTCCCCCCTTCAGTCTCTAAATGACTTTACCTCCAACATCTCTAAGAAAATAAAAATGATCCTTAAATTATTTCTCCACCTTCATTATGTTCTTCTTCTACATTCTATAAACTCACATAGACCCATCTTTCTTTCTTCCTCTTTCAATAAAAGAGTTGCCATTCTTTTCTAAGGCTATCTTTCTACCTATGCTTTGAAACTGTTTTTTAATACTTTCTCAGCAACTCTTCTCCATCAATAATTCCCTGTCTCCTACATCTTATTTCTTATCTTTTCCTCTTAGCATGTAATTATGTTCCAGGCATCCCCTAAACTTAAAACATCTTTCATTTAGCTATGTCTTCTTCTACCTATTACTATATTTCTCCTTCCTTTCATAGTCTAACTTCTTATAATAGTAGATAATTATACTGGCTACTTCCTTATACCTCTTATTTGCTTCAAAATTCACTACAATCCAGTTCTACCTCTCCTTTCCTACTGCATAGAAACTACTCTCATTAAAATCACGTAGTCCTTCAAATTGTCAAATCCAAGGAACAATTTTCAGTACTTATCTTTGCAGCATCTGACAGTTGACCATTCTCCCCTCTTCTTAGTATTAACTTCTTAAATTTGTTTCTGAATACCACTGTCTCTTATTCTCCAATCACCCAACCCTTCCATTTTCTACCAACCAGTACCTTTAGGTTTCTCTTCTTTCTCGACTTAATCCAGAATATACAATTCATCAGTGAAATCACTCTTTTAACATTATCTTCAACTCTTATGTTCTTTCTCCTTGACATTTGCCCTCCCATCCTTATAAAATCCTGTCATTCCATTTTTCCTTTATTAGTTTCCTCTTTTGAGGATTACACTTAGCTCAAACCTCAGTTATCTATTTTCAGACTATATGCACTATCCCTGAGTAAATATAACAAAACCCATGGATTCCAAGACTACTTATATTCCACTTTATGGCAATCTACCATCAATATCATTATTTCCTTTCTCCCATCCTCTACAGATTTTATATCCTGAATTACTGACTCTGAGTATTTCAATACCTATGAGTTATTTCAACATCTATGAAGGCAATCTTTCTAATACCATGGCTTCTTAGCTCCTTGAAATCTTCTCACATAAATTATATTATCCTGCTTGCTACATCAGCTAATTATTCCCATGATCATAACAAGTTCAACCATCACTTCCCATTTTTCCAGCTTATGTAGTCTTCTAAATGCCAACTTCTAACAGCCTTCAACTCTATTATGACCTTCAAGCCCTTGATTCTACCATTACCTACACCTCTAAGCAATCTCTTCTCTCTTGCTTAAGGTTAATTAATATAATCCACAGTTTATTATTATTATTATTTTTATCCTCATCCGAGGACATTTTTTCATTTTTTGTTCAGACAGAGCGGGAGGGGAGGGAGGGGGGGGAGAGAGAGAGAGAGAGAGAGAGAGAGAGAGAGAGAGAGAGAGAAACATCGACATGAAAGGGACACATCGAGTGGCTGCCACCTGCACAACCAACCAGGGCTGGGGACAAACTGCAACCGAGGTACATGCCCTTAGCAGGAACCGAACCCAGTCTCTCTGGACCGCAGGCCGATGCTCTAACCGCTGAGCAAACTGGCCAGGGCCACAGTTGATTATTATAATCACTTGTTTTCTTCTTTAAATGCACTGTATTTCTGGAAAAATTAAAACCTTTATGAATCCCAATGATCTTGTTACTTTGAGCTTGCATTTGTATGTGAATCATATTTCTAGTTTCTATAAACTCAATGCTTTAATATCTGTCCTGTATGCATTGGCCCAACATGCCTTATTCTGGATAACCTGATATGCCCAAGTTATCTTGCTTTGACTTCCTGACTCCCTTGTTGCCCCTCATCCCTAGGAGCATGGTTTTCTAATACAAATCAACCGTTCCAGAGTCCACACCCTCAACTACCTCCCGTATCAGGCCCTCATACTCTGATCCAATATACACCTTCCCTAATCACCCTATAGCCAGGTACCAGGTAACTAGGAATGAACCCTATGCCCAGAGCCCATTGAAATTATGCAAACTAGCCATTCCTAAATCCACTTACCCTGCCTCACATATTTCTTCTCACCAAAACCACAATAAAGACTCTTGCCCATAGTTCCCCCATCCTCCTCTGGCTGGTGGCTAACCCCAGTGTTTCTCCATGTGGTCCCGTGGCATTAAGGTGCCCCTCCTCTTGGGAACTCTGAGTAAAACACTATTTTTCAATGGTGATTGTCTCCTGATCTGTTGCCTTATTATACCTCACATTTTCTATTAATACACTATATTTATCTCAACCTGAGCAGCTAAATGAAGCTGAAGAAAAAATATCCAAACATTATGCTAGGTCTCAGTTTAAATTATAAATATTTTAATTTAAAGTGTGTCCTTAATGTGCCATCAATAATGTGGCATTTTCTTGGTTCATTTTTTTGCTACATCTTCTAAGGCCACTATTTCATACTTTTCTCTCCTTGAAGAGCAACATCTCCTCTCCCATCTTTACCTTCAGCTGATTAAATGAGAAAACTGAACCAATCAGGTAATTTCCTAATACTCCCATTGTCACATCTATGTACCTATCTATATCTGTGCCTACAGTCTCTATTTCTCTCCTTGCTACACTGGAAGAGTGATCTATAAATGTAGCTTAGGTCAATTCCTCTACAATAGTCTAGATTCTACTCTTCTTGCTTTCACAAAAACATTGTTGTAGTAATTCTCTCAAAAGCTATCATAGCCCTGGCCGGTTTTGCTCAGCGGTTAGAGCATCAGCCTGTGGTCCAGAGAGACCTGAGTTCGGTTCCCACTAGAGGGGCATGTACCTTGGTTGCAGTTTGTCCCCAGCCCTGGTTGGGTCATGTGGGAGGCAGCCACTCTATGTGTCCCTTTCACATAGATGTTTCTCTCTCTCTCTCTCTCTCTCTTCCTCTCTTTCCCTCCCACTCCATCTGAACAAAAAATATAAAAATGTCCTCAGGTGAGGATAAAAAACAAACAAAAAAGCTATCATAAGCTTTTCTCTCTACTGGATTATCCTTTTCAGTAGGTAAACATGTTATTTCTATATTAAACAAAAACTTCTCTTGACTGCTACCATTCCATCTTTCCTTTAATTATAGCAACTCCTTGAGGGAAAAAATTGTCTATACCTATTGTTTGTAATTTCCCTCTTTATATACTCTCTTGAACCTGACCAGGTTATTGCCCTTATTCCCCAAAAAGGATTCTTACCAAGATCCAGTCACTTCCACAATATTAATTCCAGGGGTCACTTCAATGTTCTCTTCTTACTTCAGCAGAATTTACCCATCTGTTCATTCTTTTTTCTTTGACTTTTAAAAAAAATTTGTGTTGCAGGACATTTTCTTTATTTGGTTTTCCTTCTACTTTTTTTACCCTTGGATTTCTCCTTTCTACCAAAATTTATAGTCTAGGTGAAGTCATTCAATGCCATGATTTAAATGTCATCTAAATGGTTACTGGACCACTAGACAAATACAGTGGAACCTTGGTTCTCAAACTTAATTCATTCTGGAAGGCTCTTCAAGAAGCGATTTGTTCAAAAACAGAATCATTTTTTTCCCCTTAGAAATATGTACATTGAATTAATTTGTTCTAGATTCCCTGTTTTAACCTTTCTTACATACAGTACATGTCTAATGAACTGTTTAATCTGTAAACAAACACTTATTTTCTTAAATTTATTGACCCCCCCCCCCCCCCCCCCCCCACTATCTTTAGACAAATCACTTGCAGCACTCCTTCCAAGGGTGTCTTCTGAAAGGTCAGTATGAGGCTTCTTCACTTGCTGTCACTGGCTAACTGCTTTTCCTTTATCCACATCAACAATTTTGCTACCTCTTCAATTGCCTGTGATCATTGTTTCTTTCACTCCATTAGCATTATCAGCACTCTTGATGGCCTCTTTATGTTTTAAAATTGTGCT